TGTAGGATACTGTACAATAGTGCGCAAGCAAAAAAGAGGGGAGTAATGAACAAATTGTCACTTTTGCTCATAAAATCAATTTATCGATTGTTTGCAACATCGTGTCCTTTCGCAAGCAAAAACATTGAAGAGGGCAAGGTGTGGTATAGAAAGACAAAAAGGAATTATAAATTCTTATGACTAAGAAATCGATGACAAATGCACAAACTTTTTTGTTTTTCCTCGAAGAAAAAGAATGCTTAATTTGATTGCAATCGATACATCGATTTTTCCATGGCCGCCTTTCAATAACCTACTTTCCTTTCTTCGCAAACAACACTTAGCAGATCTAACGCATAAGATAAGCTACTTTTCTTGAGCCAACCTCCATCAAAATTTATGTGAAAAACATATCTTGATCACTTGTCCACCCTCGCTTGTTGGATGCTTTGCTCATGTGCTCAGCTTTACACCATCGCTGCGATGCTGCTGAAGCAGTTCGTTTGGGCGGAGTTTTTCCGCACATACACACCACTACACTTACATACACCATCATCCTACTCTTAGTGTAATATGGGGAGCCGAGCCGATTGAAATGAGGTTAGCGTACAGATGCAAGTTCAACTTGCCAGGGATAAGCAGGAAAAAGTTCAATCGATTAGTTAACTCAAAGTGATAGGAAAGCTTTTAACAATGTACCCAAACGTTATTAGTACTAATTACACTAGTCCAGATATCTCTCACGATTTTGGCTAACTAAGAATGATAATCATGTTAAAAACAATCAATATATCGATCGATTTAGTTTAAGAGAACACTGGGGGCGAAAGCTTCTTACTAGCTATCTATTACTTATTTATGAGATACCCCTGCTATTTATAAAATTTATGTTACAATCAATACATCAAGATTTTTCATCAATAGATAGATCTTTGAAACTGTTTTAATGTGAACTATTTCAAATAGTAATATGCAAAGTGAGCCCGCTACTTCTACGCTTAAATCGATATTTAAACAATGATCAAAAACGATGTATTGTTAAGATAAGCCATTGAGGAGCAAACTACAATTTGAGCTTGTGTGTATGTTGAAAACAGCCTCTATTGTGTTAGTCATTCTCATCGACATATTATTGTGTTGATAATTGCGATAGCTAAATCAATTTCACTGCAAAAGTTCTCACAAAACATCGCTTAATAGTGATTTGCAGCTGCGTAAGTAATTGATAATAATATTTTATTAGAATGGGCTATTACTGTAGCAAACTGCTTCTTCCTTGTTTCAAAATAACTGATGGTCGTAAATTTAGAAAACTTTGTGATGTAGCTCTGGTTACCCAAATTCATGACATCTGCGGGATCGATATATTGATTCACTGCATTCGTTGAGAAAATTCACCGAGTCAAATTCGAGTATGCAAATGAAGGCATTTAAGCCGTACTAATTAGATACAGCCAGAAACTCGAAGTGGGAAAATTTTAAGGCAATGTTCTCGTCTAAACTATTTGATTTGATACCTGTAGTTCCGCTATAATAGCTACTCAATCATCCATAGTTAGAAACTCATTCCAGGTCAACTCGAAAAGATCTACAATGATATGTTTGAACGGGTGAAGAAATTGGAAGAGGAAAAATATGACATCAACTTCACTGTCACACAAACTGAAGCCGAAATCAACGAGCTCACGATTGCTGTCAATGATTTGCGAGGCAAATTGTAGGTTTTGCTAATATCAACCTCAGATTCCTATTTCAAAAAAAAAAAAAACCCGATCTGAATTTACGAAAAAAGGTATCTACTACTACCTTTTCAAAAATAGCACGATAGCAGTAAAGATTGTCGTTGCTTCTAATTGACTACAATGGATCCATGAAACTGCATTTGACGATTGAAGCCACGTGGTCCCAGTTGGAATGACTACAGCAATAGCGCTTTTATG